ATGAAATCCAAAGCATAAAGTGGAGGGATTGGCCTATCATAGGAGGAAAGCAATGTCCTCTATTTGCCATAAGAAGAAGGGAGAGTAGGAGGAGTGAAGATGGTATGTAGGTTTGCATGTTTAATGGCTAGAAGCTGAAGGAGTTTCCATCTGAGCACTTTGGTTTTCTGGTGAAGCTGTAAGAAAGATCTTCAGTTGATGGAAAATGTGGAGGGTTTGGAAATTTGAGAAGTTTGAAGAAGGTTTCAGTTATCACAAGCATTATTCATAATAGCCAAAAAGTAGAAACAATCCAAATGTCCATCAACTGATAGATGGATAAATAAAATGTGGTATATCCATACAATGGAATATTATTTAGCAAAAGAAAGGAATGAAATACTGATACATACTACAACATAGATGAACTTTGAAACCATTACGCTAAGTGAAAGGACACAGTCACAAAAGGTCACATATTGTTTGATTCCATTTATATGAAATGTCCAAAAGAGGCAAATCCATAGAAACAGAAATATTACTGGTTGTCAGGGGCTACAAGGAGGGGAAGAAAGGAGGAATAGGGAGTGATCGTTAATGGAAATAGAGTTTCTTTTTGGGGGGATGAAATATTCTGAAATTAGATACTGGTGAGGTTGAAGAAATATTTGAATATACTAAAGACCACTGACTTGTAACTTTAAAAAATGTGAATTTTCTGGTATAGGAATTATATCTCAGTCAAGCTGTTATTTAAAAAAAAAAAAGAAAAGTTATTAAATAGGCTAGTTGCACTATGCAGATAAAGGAAGTGGGATTGCCAGGCAGCAGAGGCATCCATCAAGTTAAATAAGCTTCAGCTTGGAGACCCTCATTGCACAAGTCCCCATGAGAATAGGGAGCTGCTGGAAGAGGTGGTGTGTCCTAGTTGAGAAGGGAAACCAGGAAGCACTCAGGAAGCATATCCACGTTAGGATTCTGGTAATCATAGAGATCTCAAAAGAAAGGCATCTGTATCTCTAAGCCTCCAGTAATTTTTTATTTATTTCTTCATTCTAAATACATATTCATCCTAATTTTGTATTTGTAATTGTATATTCTTTTCCTTTAAAAGGACTCTCCCCAAACTGTAGAAGCTTCAAGTTCCAGAAAACCAAGATCTGCCCTTGCAGATAGTCGAGGATGTATTTGAGGTCATTGAACACGAATTTATAGTGATGTCACTCATCCTGTTGTGTGACTTGCTCCAACAGTACTCAGCTGCTTGGGTGTAAAAGAGGGAAGAGTTGAGTTCATCTGGAGTTGGGGTTTTGTGAGTTGGGAGCATGTTATTAAAAATGTGGACCACAAAATTTAAACTGGATAAGCGGGGATGTGAAGAAAGGAGAGGTCTGATGGATCATGAGAAAGCAGAGGAGTCAATAGGTTACAACAGTTGTTGAGAAGAAAGAAGATTATAGAGGAGAATTTGAAAGATCAAGTTGGAAGATAACATGGTTAAGGTGGGATGCTGGAGGTGAATGACAAAGTCCATAGGGGCGATTGTTTGAGGCGATCTGAAGGTCACAGGAGATGACATGATCATTTGCTCTAAGGAAAATCTAAACTCAAAGATGATCTTCAAGGAGCTGCACAATCTGTCCCCTGCCTGCCTCTGTAACCTCACTCGGCCCAATGTCCCTCTCACTTGCCTCACTGCTGCCTTCATTCAGGAGCTCCTTCAAGCCTAAGGACTTATATACCTAGGAGTTTCTCTGTAGTTTCTCTTCTGTCTAGAATGTTCTCCTCCACTACTTGGCCAGGCCAACTTCTACTCATCCCGAGGATCTCAGTTTAAAGTCTTTTCCTCAGGGAAGCCTTTCCAAACCTAACCACTCTTCACCCAAGGGGTAGATCCTCCTATTATATGCCCAAATAAGACTCTCTTTTTTCTTTTATTTATTTATTTATTTTTTCCCCCAAAGCCCCAGTAGATAGTTGTATGTCATAGCTGCACATTCTCTTTTTTCTTTCACAACATTTATCAACCATATTGAAGAAGTGATGGGGCTAACTATTTGTAAATAAAATTATCTGTAAAATTTAATAAAATTATCTGTAATCTGTAAAATAAAACATACACAGACTTCTCCAGGATTGAGGAGTGCAGGAACAGGTCTGGCTTTCCTCTCTGTTGTATTTGAGATCCTCAGAGACTTGCACATACTAGGACGTTCCATAAATATTTGTTGTATGAATGCAATTTAAGACACGTATATAGCTTTTTCCAGCATACGTTTTAAAATACAAAGATATAGAACATGGTTTAACAGATAATCTGAAAACGGCATATAATATAAAAATAATGTAAATTTCCTTCCTAAAATACATACACGGAGACATATCTATCTTCAATCTCTCCTCAACCCTTATTTCATCTCTACAAATACAAATCTAAAACAACACAGTCGAAGATAGGGAAAAATAAAGATTTCTTATATAGAAATGAGATAATTGGATCCCTTATTTGAAATAAAAAAGTTATTGGAACTTCCAAAGGTAAATAGTACATTATACTACAATTTTCCATTAAAAAGGACTTTACAACAGGAGTGGAGGGAGTGGTGAATTTTTTAAAGCCAACAACACATTTGGAGGACGTGAGGCAAAATCTGTGTTCACATACTTAGAGAGAATCGCTTTGGTTTATTAGCTGCCATAAAATTTACACTCATGTTCTAAAAAGCCTTTAAATTTAAGAAAAACAACAACAACAACCCCTCTTGCTTGTTCTTTCTCTCAATCCTCTTTATGGTTATCCTTGTTTCCACAAAACAAGTCTGATTCTCTTCTCTTTAATCTTTTAAATCTCTGGCTAAAGGCCTCCTCAAGGAAGACTTCCTTCTTATTCTGTCTGACCTAGTCCACTCCAGTTATCCTTTCACCTTACTGTGTGTTTATTTCCCTCAGGGCACCACATTTATCACAATCTGTACTTATGTTGACCTTTTATTTGTTTACTATCCTATGCGACCGCGGGAATGTCACCTCCGTAAGTGCAGGGACCCTTGTCACCACCCCCAGCCTACTATAATTGTACATTTTCAGACTCAGAGGAACTCCTGAACACGAATGATGTGTTAATAAGAAAATGCCTGAGGTTATTTTTCCCAGAAATGTTCACTTATCTCCTTTTATCTGATTGTTTATATTACCTTCTAAAATTTGTTTTGGGGCTTTGTTTTTCATAAAAAAAAGTGGAAAAGATATTTCTATTACAGGATCAATCATGTTAAACTCAGGACCAGGGATCATAATTGTAAAACACATACAAATAGGCAAATAGAACTAGGACATCCAGTAAGTTTCCCTTTCTAGTCCAACATCCCAAGGGTAGATTTTAAAGAAATACGAAGTCAAGTGGAAGAAACTGGCAACAAATGGAGGCAGTGTGAGACTAAAATGTCCCAGAGCCAGACTCGGTCAAATCCTTTGGCCCCGATAAGCGCTCCCACCACTCTGGCAGGGTTGCTCCGGGGACCAGTCCACGCCAGGCTGGGTGGGTCCCCCGCTGTCCTCCCCGCCAGGCTGGTCCCTAAGGCGCACTCCCCTTCGCCTTCGCCCTCCCGGTCCTGGCGCTTCAGTCTCGCCGGCAGAGATCAGCGGGGTCGCGGACTCTCCAAGGCGCCGTGGGCTCCCCAGGCTGTTTTGCTTTGCAGGCTGTCAAGTAGAGAAACCCACCCCATGCCCCAACCCCTCCCTCCCAACTCCTGATTTCGTGCACAGTACAAACTCCGAAGTGACACCCGCCAGAGCCAAGATGGCAAACCGCAGACTGAACAAGAACGTTAGTCGCTCTTCCCCGCGCCCAAGCCCCGGTGGCGCTGCCTTCTCCGAGGACTCGGCCGCGTTCCCCGGCGAGGAGGCCCCTGGGGGCTCCGGCCGCCACCGCCGCCGGGCGGCCGAGGACCCCGCTCCAGCTTCCCGAACTACAGATCCCAGGGTGCCTCTCGGACTCCCGCTCCCTCCCTCCTTCGCTCCCTCCCTCCGTCCGTCCCCTCCTCCCCCGGCCCTTGTTGTTTTGGCTGGAAGCGCTCTGGCGGAGTTTCAGAGAAAGTCTGGACAGAAACCTGAGCCGGCCTGAACGTGGGAAGGGGAGGAGGAAAGGGAGGAAGAGAGCGCCGGGAGGCCGGGAGAGGGAGGGATCGGGGCCGGGGGCCGGGCCGCTCAGAACCTGCCGCGCGCCCCAGGGTGGGGGAGGCGGCGCGGGAGGAGCGAGAGGGGACGGGACAGTGGGATCAGTCCCGGGAGCCCAGCAGCCGAGCGCCTCGTCCCCTCGCCGCTTCCCGCCCTCTTCGGCGGCGGCGAGAGCGAACCCACCCTCCGGCGGGACCTGCGCCCTCCCCAGCGCCCGCCGCCCGGCGACGCCCCGCGCTTGGCCGCCGACCCTGCGGCTCCCTCCGTGGCCCGGGACCTGCCCTGCGCCCGCTGCCCACGGGACCCTCGCGGCTCCCCCTTCCCTCCGCGCTTTTGGGCGCCGCGGGGAAGTGACCCAGCCTCCCCCGAGGAGGGGGAAGGAGAGGATCGCCCGGGGCGCACCGAAACCGAGAGCGGGCGAGCCAGAGTGGGCGCCGCGCGGGGGCATTGTGTGTGTGTGTGTACGCGTGCAGCGTAGTGTCTGTTTCGGAAAACGCTCTGGGGAGGTCCTGTCCCTAGAGGGCGGAGCGCAGGGGACCGAGGCTCCGGCGCTTTGCTGGGTCAGAGTCCCGCGGAGCCGGAGCGCTGC